AAAAAAAAAAAATGAAAAGGAATTTTTTCGGGTATCCAATTTTATAACAATTTCGTTTCGAATCGAACTCGTTTTAATTTTTCCGTCGCCATGTTGAATGCATTGTGTGGGCGTTACTATTCTCAAAGATCTTCCTGTTCTTCTGCGAGAGGAAATTTTCAAATTGAATTTTTCTATTTCAACTTATTTATCAAGTAGTTCTATTAAGAGATATTTATTTATTTTTCAAATGAAAAAGAAACCCGATCCTGCTAGAAAGTTGAAGAGTTGCACGCCGCTTTCACCGCTCAAATTCTAAAAGTAATTAAGAATTCTAATTTTGCCACTTTTGTAGCAAACGATGTTCTACTCTCAGGCATCATAGCCTCGCGTCTCTTAACTCGTATCTATTCAAGAGCAACGTATTCAATATTTAACAACGAACTTTCACATGGGTACAATCACAATCTTCGTGAAAAGTTAATCAACGATTCTTAGCGGATAGATTTCTTCGCACAATAAAATAATCATTTCACATTTCAGAGATCATGTCACTCGAGAGATTTTCACTCGAGGGAAAATCGCCAGAAAAGAGCATCGAGTGGTCGCACAGTGCATGAATATTACACGGTGTCCGAGATTCTCTACAAGCGTACGAGGGAGGCTCCTCTACCTCTCTACCACAGAAAAATATTAGCCAAATTAGAAAGCAAAGTTAAGTGTCGCAGCTTGCATGGTCGCGTGTTAATGATCAAACCCAGGCAAACACGTGAAATGCTGGTGTATTTGGTGTGCTAGGATGAAGTTGCAGAGTGCAAAGGGGCAAGCATAATGTTGAAGAGGATGCACGAAAGAGGAGACCTCTCGAGAAGTGTGTGTAAAATGGTTCACAGGGTCGCTTGATAATCGTTTCTGTTTCCTCTTTTGATTTACTTTCTCTTCTTCCCCCCTCCCCTGTATTATACTTATTACTCTTCGTGGATTAATTATTATTATTATTCTTTTTAATCGAAAAAAAAAAGAGATAGAGATATGTGTGCACGCGCACGCGTGTGTGTTCAGTGTACGGTATGGAAGGTATGTAGGAGGTGTAGGTGTGTTTCGTGTGATATCTTGTATCTTGTTTCTTCTTGTTGACTAACTTGTTGGAATACTTACGTGTAGGATCGTTTTCGTTCTCGGGTGTCGTGGGCGACCCTACACAAGCAGGCAAAAACAAAACACATGTCACGTTTTCACATGGTAAAAAAAAAAAAAAAACACAAAAGCTCAATCGGAAGTTGGGCGTATTCGTCGTACCTGTCACGGATTACTAA